GGCTTAGATGCCCATCCTCTCCAGTTTTGCTGTGTGAAACATACATCTCTCTTTTGAGCTAGTACCACTCCTTGTATGCAGCTCTCCTTGGCAGATTTCTCACAGCTCTGGTGTCATGAATAACTTCTTGGGGTCTCCATTACCAACCAGGCTTCACCTTCACAGTTTCACTTCATGCAGTGGCCTATCAGGGCCTTCTTTATGCAGAGGCACCCCTGCTGCATACTGCCTGACCTTGGTGACTCTCTGAAACTGGGGAGGAAGAACTGTTGACCCCTTCACTCTTGCATCTTTCATGCCTATAAGCCAGCACCAGGTGAATGATACTGCGAGCAAGTTTGGGATTGACCCTGTCCTGCCTCATCCACTTTTGAAGCTTTTCTCTGCTGTGTATTTCTAGGAGTAGAAAACTTTTCACCTGTTGGAGGCTTAGCAGTGTGTGGTCTTGCCTGGAGGCACTCTGTCCATTGTTTAAGCACAAATCTTTAGGCCTCTCCTCAATCATTTAATCTCTTTATCAAAGGAATCCTTTCCTTCAGCACATGCCTTGACTCCAACATTAACTTTCCTAGTGCTCTTTTTCAACCCAGACCGTACATTGTTCATTTCTTTCTGCCCCATTTGCTATTTTCTGCTGTAGATCTGCATAATATCTACCATTAATAGCCACATGACTGTTTCTACATTAGGCTGCCTTGAAATTTCTGCCAAATAATTAGCCCATTGCTTTTCAACTTATCCTCAGGCAGGTTTTTTGTCTGGGGGCAGACTCCAATCAGACTCTTTGCTTAAGTCCTTTCTGGGACTACACTGTTTTCAGCACTACTTTCTTCTAGGTGCCTACTAGAATGACCTCTTAAGCTCTACTTACAGCAACCAACTGCTTTTGTAGCCCAAACTTCCAAAGTCTTCCACATTCTTCTAAAAACCCACGTGGTCAGGTTCTTCACAGTCAAGAAACCACTCTCTGGTGCCAACTACTGTCTTAGTCCCTTTTCTGTTGCTGTGATAGAAACACCATGACCAAGGAAACTTATAAAAGGAAGACATTATTTAGCTTACAGTTCCAAAGGGGTGAAAGTCTATCATGTCAGGGAGGCATGGCAGTAGAGGTGGCTGGCATAGGAGCAAAAGCTAACTTTCACATCTTCAAGCAGGCATAGGAAGCAAAGCAGAATTAATTTCAATTTTTTTTTTTTGTATTTGTTGAAGTTTATTTTGCATCACAGCATGTGATCAGTTTTAGAGAAACTTGCATGGGCTTTGTGTTTGTGCTTGGGTGCAATATTCTGTAGATGTCTTTTAGGTCCATTTAATGTTTGATGTCATTTAATTCAGCTGTATCTCTGTATGTTCTTTTCCCAGTTGACTTGTCTATTGGAGATGGTGGGGTGTTGAAGTCACCTACTGTTACTATGTTGGGGTTAATCTGTGTTTTATAGACCTGTAATACTGCTTTTATGAAATTGGGTGCACCAGAGTTTGTTGCATATATGTTCATGACTGTAATGTCTTCTTGGTCAATTGTTCCTTTGATTAGAATCAGGTGACCTGGTTTATTTCTTCTGATTAGTTTTAATTTAAAGTTTATTTTGTCAGTTAGTAAAATTGCAACATCTACTTGCTTCTTAGAGCCTTTTGCTTGGAACATTTTTTTCCATCCTTTCACTCTAAGGCAGTGTCTATCCTTGAAGTCGAGATTAGTTTCTTGAAAACCACAAAAAGATCGATTTTCTTTCTTGATCCATTCCACTAGCCTGTGCCTTTTGATTAGGGAGTTGAGGCCATTGATATTTAGAGTTATTATTGAAAGATGTATTACTGTCATTTTAATTGGTTTGTGTTCTTGGTTCTATTTGTGTTTCTGTAGTTATACTTTCCTTTGTTTTCTTTCTACAACCTCTTGGGTGTCCTCATTCCTATCCTCAGTCCTTTGTATTGCTTTGAATATTCTCTGTAGGGCTGGTTTGGTTGAGATGTATACTTTCAGCCTTTTCATGGCATGGAAATTTTTCCATTTCTCTTCAACTGTGATGGATAGTTTTGCTGGATAAAATATTCTGGTTGGCATCTGTTGTCATTTAGAACTGGGAATACCTTGGTCCAGGTGCTTCTAGGTTTCATAGTTTGCATTGAAAAGTCAGCTGTAATTCTGATGGGGTTTCTTTATATGTAACTTGTCATTTTTCTCTAGAAGCTTCCAGTACCTTGTCTTTGTTATGTACATATAATATTTTTACTGTGATATGTTTATGTTCTGGTCATGTCTAATTGGTGCTGTATGTATTTCTTGAATAGGTTCCTTAATTTAGGGGTGTTTTCTTCTATAATCCTGTTGAAGATTTGGTCAATGCCATTGGCCTGAGATTCTTCTCCTTCCTATATGCCTATGATATGTAGATTCAGTCTTTTCATGTTGTCCCATATTTCCTCCATATTCTATTACTGTGTTTTTAAAAATTTTAGAGTCTTTGCTTAAGGAATCCAGATCTTCAACTTTGTTATTCAGTCTTGATATTTTGTTTTCTGTTTCATTCATTCTGCTTGTGAGACTTTCTCCTGTTGTTTCCAATTGTCACAATACCTTGTTATTTTTGGTTTAGGTTTTCTTCAATATTTCTATCTCTCTTATGAATTTACTTTTTAAGTCCTGCATTGTTTTCAATATTTCATTAAGCCACATATTTGTATATTCTTGAGCTTCCATCACAAGTTTATGCCTATCCTCTTTCAGTTCTTTAGTTGTTTGTGTTTTCTTTCAGTTCTTTGATCATGTTTATAATTGTTTTCTTAACAATGGGGTTCCTCAGGGTGATTCTCATTGTACTACACTTCTGTAGGATTGGTGGATCTTGCTGGGGACATATTCTCTTGATTTTTCATATTATGTGTGTTTTTGTATTGCTATTTTGGCATATTGATGTCTTTTGTTTGTTGTATGTCTAACAGGAAATTCTGTTCTTCCTCTGTTTATTTGAGTTTTGGTTCTATTTATATTGCTGATGTACCTGGGTTGCTTTTTGCTCAGGTATGACATGTTAGTTGTTGTGTGCTTCAGGTTCTCACAGGACATTAGGCTGGTCTTGTTAGTAAACAGGTCAGGGTAGTAGGCAGAAAGGGTAGGAGTCTCATCTCAGGAATCCAAGGCAAGGTGAGGTTGGGGACAGCCTGTGGAGAGGCTATCAAACTAGGTAAGGAAGAAGACTGGTTTTGGGAATCCCAGGCAAGGTGGGGGTGGGGACAGCCAGGGTAGAAGGCTTGTCTCAGGAGTGCAAAGGCAGGGTTGGTGTGGGGACAGCTTGTGACTTGAAAACTGAGCTGGTCTGAGTATGGGGATCAGGAAACATTGGGCAGGTCTGGGCTAAGAAGGTAGTCCAGAGATCTCTGACCCAAAGATCAAAAGTGGGCCTGTGCCCAAGGCTAGAGGGAGAACAGGCAGTGGGGACTGGGAAACTGGAGTTGCTTAGTCCATAGGGGAATCAAGGCGCTGTGGGTGGGATCAAAGACTTACAAGGGAAGAAGACTCGTCTTAGGAATCAAATGAAAGTCTTTATATTTGTGATTTCATATAATTTCAACATTTCCTTATTATGATTGTTAATCTTTTGTGTAATTGTTTTCTAGTACCTAATATTTCCATTTAAAAAGTATTATAACACGGGGGGGGGGGAGGCTGGAGAGATGGCTCAGTAATTTAAGAGTACTGGCTGCAGCAGGGCGGGGTGGCACACCCCTTTAATCCCAGCACTCAGGAGGCAGAGGCAGGCGAATCTCTGTGAATTCAAGGCCAGCTTGGTCTACATAGTGAGTTCCAGGCCAGCTGAGGCTGCAGGGAGACCCTGTCTCAAAAAGACAAAAAATAAAAATAAAAAAATAAAAAATAAAAAGCACTGGTTGCTCTTGCACAGGACTCAGGTTCAGTTCCCAGCACTCACATGGTGGCTAACAACCACATAACCCCAGTTGTCGGGGGATCTGATGCCCTTTTCTGGTTTCCACAGGCATTGCATGACATGGTTGCACTTACAAACATGTAAGCAAAACACTCATAAAAGAAAAATAAGCCAGTGTGGTGGTGCACACCTTTAGTCTCAGCACTCAGGAGGCAGAGGCAGGTGGATCTCTGAGTTCAAGGCCAGCCTGGTGTACATAGTGAGTTTCAGGCCAGCTAGGGGTACAGAGAAACCCTGTCTCAAAAAGACAAAAAAAAAAAATAAAAATAAGTTTTTTAAATGAAAAAATTATAGCATGAAAAAGAAACAGTACTTTTTACCCATTTAGAAAGACCTATTCCCTTTGTTCTTGGCCCTTTCCTTTATATGTATGACTTACATTGTGCAGTGCTCTCAGGGCATTGCTGAAAGATGGTGGTCTGTTTCCCCTATGTCTTGGACAGTACTTTCCATCTGGAAAATGCTTGGTAAGTGTCTGACTGTGGAAGAAACATTGCTCATATTTACTACACATGAGCATAAGATTTGTAATAGATCATTAATACTTTATCAATAGAGAGGACCTTAGGAAGAGGATGAGAGAAAGTGGAGGGAAAAATGTGATAAGAGTATAGTATATACATGTAAGAAACTGTCAAAGAATAAATTAATAAGAAATACTACATCAATACAGAATTTCAACTATAATTCTCTATATAGATGCTATGTCCCTTCAGTTTTTTTAATTGATAGCTGTATAGTATATGTATAAGAATATATCTACATGTTTTTGCAAAAATAAGATCACAGTAATTACTTTTTCTTTTAAAACTAGAGTTTTTTACTGTTCTTGATTAAAATTTTTGCTATTAAGTGGAATTTACTAATAATTTTTAAATAAAAGATTTAGTTTTAAATAGATTTAATTTCAGAATATTGCAGGTTTTTTTTTTTTAAGCATAAACTAGTTTTAGTTTATAAAAGAGACTCCATAACATCTGAGGTTGATAGCCATTTGTATCATTTAGGTAAAGGTTCTTTCTTGCTTAATTTAATGTTTTGTTTTAGGTGAAGCATCTCCTGGAGTCGTTCCACAGTATAAAGAAAGGATACCTTCTGTCACTCATAGTCCAGAGATAATGGATTCATTGGAACTAAGACCATTTTCCAAACCAGAAATAGCACTGATAGAAGCCTTAAGGTTTTTAGCTGATGAAGACTGGTAAGTTAACAACCATCTTTTTTATACTATACATAGTCTAGGTGAAGATTATTTTGATTCTTAGGCATCTAAGTCTTTTGAACTTATTAACAGAGCTGAACTCTGGCCCAAATATAATTATAGTAATAGTTCTGTTTCATATACCATAAAGATATAATTTAGCTTCACTATGAGTTATACAAACCCTTTGGCATTGGAGTATATATCTCACAGTTCTTATATCTATCTATATCTAACAATCTTAGAAACATATAAAGAATTAAAAAAAAAATCCCAAATCCTGGAAAACACTTGTCAGTGACTGTCCCTCTTGTTTAAGGTGTAATGTCTGCCAGCTGCCTTTTTCTCTTTTCTCCCTGATTCCTTCCAAATCTCTTATAGTCCCATTGTAAAACTCATGATCACTTTTGCCTCTGCCTAGAGTATGCTATCAACAACAAAATGTGCCATTGAACTTGGGGTGTAGCTCAGGGGTACTGTGCCAGGCCTCCAAACTGATCCCCAGCACCAAAAAAAAAAAAAAAAAAAAAAAAAAACAAAAACCCTACTATAACTTATATCTCCTATTTTTAAAAAATCTTCTGTATTTATTTTTTCAATTTCTCACTCTTCTCAGCCCATTGTTTTTAAAATAAAGTTCTGCAAAAAGTAACTCATTATTTCTACTTTTCTACCCCATGTTCTCTTTTCAGCCTTTGTTAATTGGCTTTCAATCAGATATCACCTCCTAGAGCTATAGTCACTATTTTGCCAAATCTACACAGTTCATTTCTTGGTCCTCTTGTTCAGTTTTGATATCCATTTTGTCTTGATAGAATTTTTCATTATGCCTTAGCAAATTCAGTCTCTTGGATCTTTTCCTGCTATAATATATTTTCTGACTGTTTTTCTTCTATTAAAGTAGAAGAAAATAGAAAGTAAACCTGAAAAGTTAGAGGCATTGTGGAATTTAGTCTTCTAGTCTTCTCTAATCTACCTTTGTAGATCAAGGACAATCTTTTCCTGCCAGTCATTTTCTGTGAAGAGTAAATATTTTAGATGTCAGATGTCTCTGTTGTGAATACTCAACTCTGATGTTGCATTGCAAAAGCAGTCTTACAGAGTTTTAGTTTTGACAAGCTGATCTGGAGAACAGCTTGGAGCTAGAGCTCAGCTGTTAAGAATGCATACTGCTCTTGCAGAGGACCCAAGTTTGGTTCCCAGAACCCACATTGGACAGCTCACAACCACCTGTAACTCCAGCCCTATGGCGTCTGTTGCCTTCTTTTGGACTCTGTGAACACCTGCACTCTCACGGGCTTACACATAAACATATAATTAAAATAATTCTAACAAAATTCTAAAAATTATCAAGCATGCAAAGAAACAGGAAAGAAAATGAAAAGCAAATAGTTTTAAATTAACACAAAAATGGCACATGATAGGGGCCTGGAGAGATGGCTCAGGGGTTAAGAGCACTTGCTGCTCTTGCAGAGGATCAAGGTTCTATTCCCAGCACCTATTTGATGGTTCAAAACTGTAACTCCAGGAGATCTAACATCTTCTAGCCTCCTTGGGTACTAAGCACACATGTGGTACATTTATTTACATGCATGCAGGCAGAACACTGCATAAATAAATCCTTTTAAAAATGACACATTATTTAGTCCCAGCACTTGGGAGGCAGAGGCAGGTGGATCTCTGTGAGTTCAAGGTCAGCCTGGTCTACATAGCGAGTTCCAGGCCAGCTGGGGCTACAGGGAGACCCTATGTCAAAAATACCAAAAAAAAAAAAAAAAAAAAAAAAAAAAAGACACATGATACATTTTATAGACAAACACATTATAACTATTCCCTGTATGAGACTAGAGGGAAAAACTGAGCAAGTAAAGACATGCAAAGGATTTAAGAAGCACAAATATATTATGTGCAGATGAAAGCTATAGTGTTTGGATAAGAGATTCGGTGAATGGGAGTACAGACAATTAGTCATGGCAGAAGAAAAGATTAATGATTCTGAAAACATGCCCAAAAAACTAATAAGAAAACTGAAAAGACAGGTTGAGGAAATTGCTCAGTGGGTAAAGCACCTGCCACCCAAACATGAGGACCAGAGTTTGGATCTTCAAGCACCCATGTAAGTGCCAGGCAGTTATGGGGGCCCACCAATAACCCAGTGCTTAAGAGGCATTGGAGATGGGGATCCCTGCACCTAAGCTCACTAGCTAGATAGCAAAATTGGCAAGCTCTGGGTTCAAGTGAGGGGCCCTGCCTTAATTTATGAGGTAGAGAGTAATTAAAGACACCCAGTGTCAACCTCTGTGACCACACATATACCCACACATCTGCCCTCACACATACACAAATGTGCCAGCCTACATGTAAGGCTACTATTTTAAAAAACAAGGGAGCTGGAGAGATGGCTCAGTGGTTAAGATCACTGGTTGTTCTTGCAGAAGACCTGGGTTCGAATCCCAGCACCCACATGGCAGCTAACAATTGCCCGTAACTCCAGTCCCAGGGGATCTGATGGCCTCTCTGACCTCTGAGGGCATTGCACGACATGGGTGTACTTACCTACATGCAGGCAATACATGCATACACATAAAATAAAAATAAAAAACAACAACAGCAACAAAAACCCAAATGAACAATGGACTGGTGAGGTGTCTTGGAGGGTGAAAGTGCTTGCCATGTAAGCCTGAGCACTTGAGTTTGATCCAAGAGTTTTGATCTGTACAAGGAGAGTATCTAGTCCCAAAGGCTGTGCTCTGATCACCACATGTGCTCATACTCATACTCAAGTACACATACGTGCGCACACACACAGGGAGCACAATCTTACCAACTAAAGAAATTCTTTCATACCTCACATTCTTTAAATCTGTAAGATGAAAGCCATCAAATTTGAAATGTTACTCCTCATACCATCTGAGTCCCACCCTCTTACTGTTAGTATCCAACACTTCATCTGACTCTTTAAAAGCCAGATAATGAAAAATAAATACAAATTACAGAAACAACTAATAGTTCTCACTGCTTTGGGTCATTTATTCTCCAATAAGCTAATTACTGGCTGTTTTTCTTCCATTTTTCTTTTATTTTATTGCTTTTTACAACTCTTGCTCGTTATTTCTTTACTATCCAGGAAGACATTTTACTAGGGGAGAAATGTTCCTTTACTTTTAGAAAAAGTTGGCTGAGCTTGACTTTGACTGTTAACTGTGGATTTGGATATTAAAAGATTTTTATATGGACTTTTGAGATTCTTAATAAAGAAAAGTAGCTACAGTCTCTTTACTGGCATGAAAAAATTTTGTCATTTATTTTTCCACAGGGAGAAGAAAATTGAGGGGCTGAATTTTATTCGATGTTTAGCTGCTTTTCATTCTGAGCTATTGAACACAAAGTTACATGAAACAAATTTTGCAGTAGTTCAAGAGGTAATATTTTTGAGAATTACTTAAATAATAATGCACCATATTTATTTGATCTTTACTTTTTTTTTGTCTGATAGGTTTTCTCTGTAGCTCCAGCTGACCTGGAACTCCCTATGTAGACCAGGCTAGCTTCAAACTCACAGAAATTTGCCCATCTCTGCCTTCCCAAGTGCTGGGATTAAAGGCATGCACCACCATGCCTGGCTTTACATGATTTAAGTATACTTATATGCAAAGCAGAACATTTTTAACTTGTAATATTTGACAAATTATTAGATGTTGATTTTTATGTTATACAATAGTGCATAATCAAATATGTTACTTGATACTAAAACTCATTACAAAGTATAGTTACTGATTTTCTGACAGCATGTTGGGAAAATGTTTTAAAATTTTTTAGGTGAGAAATTTACGGTCTGGAGTGTCTCGTGCTGCTGTGGTCTGTTTAAGTGATCTTTTCACTTATCTAAAAAAGAACATGGATCAAGAACTAGATACTACAGTAAGAGTTTTATTGCACAAGGCTGGAGAATCAAATACATTTATAAGAGAAGATGTTGACAAGGCGCTTAGAGCTATGGTTCATAATGTAACCCCTGCACGTGCAGTCATTTCTCTTATCAATGGAGGACAAAGGTAATCTTCAAAATAATCTTCAAATGCTCTGAAACTAAAAATGAAATTGTCTGCAGTCCTGGGCATAGTGAGGAAAAAAAGCAAATTTCCTGTCAATAATTTCTCCATGATAAAAATAGTATTATATATTAAGCATAAAAAGAGCCATAATACTGTTTTCCTAATAATATTACATGCATTCACAGATTTAGAGCTAATAAATGTTAGCTTGTGCCAGTTTTCTTTTTAACTTTTGGTTAGGCTGGGACTTTTGGGTAAGATGGTAGTTTAGAAGCTGCCTCTGAGCCTGGTGTGGTGGTTCACTCTGGCAGTCTTATTTAGCACTGTAAGTGGATTGCCTCAATTAGAGGCCAGGCTAGGCTACTAGGGGGCTTCAGGCCAGCCTTTGCAACAAAGTTGAGACCATGTTTAAAACACAACCACCCTCACAACTTCAGTAAGAAGAATGTTCTAATTAGCTTCATCTGCTAACTTGACCCTGAGGGATTCCCCAGATCAGACTGGTCTGTGGATCAGCCCTCAGGAATCAGAGGCAGGCTGATCTCTATGAGATCAAGACCAGCCTGCTCCACATAATGACTTCCAGGCATGCTGGGACTAGGGAGACCCTGTCAAAAAAACAAAACAAAAAAACTGATCTGTGGTTCTGTTTGTGCCAGACTATCTTGATTGATTATTATGTGTCTCAGGCAGGGCTGCCCTCTACAGGCAGCACCAGCAAGAACGCTTGCTAAGGCCAGCGTTGGTGGTGTACACTTTTAATCCCAGGACTCAGGAGGCAGAGGCAGTTGGTTCTCTGTAAGCTTAAGGCCAGCCTGGTATCCAAAGTGAGTTCCAGGCCAGCTGGGGCTACAGGGAAACCCTGTCTCAAAAGACCCAAAAAAAAAGAAAAAGAAAAAAAAGCTTGCTGAGCATGACCACATACCTCCCTGGCTTCTACTTGAACTCCTGTTTGAGTTCCTGCTGTGACTTCATCAGTGATGGATTGTGATTGGATGTATAAGCCAAATAAACCCTGTTCCTCCGAGTTGCTTTTGGTCATGGTGTTTATCACAGCAACAGAAAGAACAACAAAAAGCCTTTCATGAGATGTAGCAGCTGCCTCTGTGTAAGCCTGTAAAGAAGTATCAAGATAAAAAAGAATAAACTGCCCTTATGAGAGAAAGAGCTGAAGAATATCAGAACACACTAAGATAGAGGGAAAGTAAAATGGATGGCTCAGAAAAGAATATTTAAAATGGTATCTATAAAGTGCCTTAAGGAGAAGCAGCCAGGAGAAGGGAGCCTAGCTACTCACGCTGATCATACTGGGTCAGGGTCAGAAGTAGCTGCCTTGGAGTTGCTGTCCCTCCTTAGACACGGGTGTCTAAGAATGGCAAACTGGAGAGAGATGAACTGCCATGATGGGAACCCGGGTCTGAACACATTGTGGGTGAAGAGGCAGCCAGAGCACAGTTGGCTGTGGAGACTGGCAGATGTATTCGACAGGAGCCTAAAGCTCAAATTCTCCATGAGGACCAGAGTGACTGCCTTGAAGAATATATGACAGGACCTCCACCACCACTTAGGCAACTGACAACACATGGACACAAGTATGCTGAACCTGGGCAGCCTTGTCTCTCCCTGCAAAGATTTTCAGTCAGAAACAATGAAACATTGGTGGAAAAACAAAACAACCAAGATCTAGCCAGGACGAAAACACAAGCATGGATAGACGTTCACATCTCCTCCTCAGAACCTCAGTCACACAAAGCCATGCTTAGAAAGCATGATCCCAACACACCAGAGGTGTGTGAAGCTGTTACTGGCAGGGGAGGTTGTCTAGAATGGTGAATTCCTGCAGAAAGCGTAGTCCCAACCAGAAACTCCTCAGCAGGAAGGACACGCTGATCTAGCCTGATCTAGCCTTGTGAACAAGCAGCCCTCCCTCCCAGCACCTGCAGAATCTGCTGCAAAGCACAGCTGAGGGGTGCAAGAAACCATCCGCATCTGTCGCCAGAGTTCTCTCTGGGTCTCTTGCACAATCAGACAAGCCGTATACTCTATTTTTATGTGAATTTATTATGGTTTATTGCCCTCGGGTAGGGAGGGGATAAATTGGGGAACTTATACAGAGATAAGGACTCTTACATTGGGGCTCAAGAAGCCGCTGGGTCAGATGCTCCGGCGCCCCGCCCATAGTCTCTATTAACTTTTGCCCACGCGTCTTGGGCCCGTAGTTTCGTCCCAGGTCAGTAAATGTCCCCTCTTGCATCCATGTGGGTGAGGCGCCGGGGCCATCTCTCCCTCCACATCCACCATGCTTGTTCCTCCCGGCTCCAGGCTTCAAGATGGCTCCCCGCAGCCCCCCAGTAGTCCCTCCTCCGGGGCAGGCCCCGCCCCTTGGAGGAACTAATCACCTGGGGACAGCATCCCAAGAAGAAAGAAATACTGAGAAAATGTTTTATATATCCTTTTATTTTTTAATTTATTATTTTTATGTGTATAAGTGTTTTGCATGCATGCTTGTAAGTGCTCCTGTGTCATACAGTGTCCACAGAGGTCAGAAGAATGTGTTGGATCCCCTGGAACTGGACGGTTGTTAGCCTCCATGTGGGTGCTGGGAATAGAACCTGGGTCTTCTGGAAGAGCAGCCAGTGCTTTTAATCGCTGAGCCATCTCTCCAGCCTCTTATTTTTTAAATTTACATTTTAACTTTTACTTCTTATGTGTATGATGTGAAAGTCCAAGGACAACTTTTGGGAATTGATCTTCTCTGTCCACTGTGAGTTCTGGGGATTGAACTCACGAGGTCAGGCTTGCATACACTGAGCCATTTTACTACCCATTTGTGTACTTAACTTGTTCTGTTCCTTTGTTTTAGCTAGTGTCATCTGAATTAGGCTTCTATGTCTTTTTCTACACCTATACTACTTTCTGTTATTTCTCTGCCTCTAATCTATGTTTTCCTATCATTCATGCTTTAGTATCTCTTTCCCATTTTTCCCATTCCTTCATGTTTTTATGTCTTAGGTACTAACACCCTTAGCTGTAGAAAATAATAAACTATATTTTTCTTTTAAAAAAAAAATTTATGGGGCTGGAGAGGTAGCTCAGTGGTTAAGAACACTGGTTGTTCTTGCAGAAGACTCAGGTTTGAATCCTAGCACCCACATGGCAGCTAACAACTGTCTGTAACTCCAGTCCCAGGGGATCCAACAGCCTCTTCTGATCCCCACAGGCATTGCACAACACAGATGCACTTACCTACATGCAGGCAATACACACACATCAATATATTTTTTTTTAAGTTAAAAAAAAAATTAGCCGGGTGTGGTGGTACACACCTTTAATCCCAGCAGAGGCAGAGGCAGGTGGATCTCTGTGAGTTCAAGGCCAGCCTGGTCTACATAGTGAGTTCCAGGCTAGCTGGAGATACAGGGAGACCCTGTCTCAAAAAGACAAAATATATATATTATTACTTTCATTTTATGTGTATGAGTGTATTGCCTGCATGTATGTAAGTGCATCCATGTCATGCAGTGCCCATAGTGGTCAGAAGAAGGCATCAGATCCCCTGGAACTGAAATTATGGACGGTTGTTAGGTGCCATGTAGGTATTGGGAATCAAACCGGGTCCTATGCAAGAGCAGCCAATGCTACAGCCTCATAAACTGTTTTTCTTAATACCCTTGTGTTGCCTCTGATCCTTATTGAGGGCACAAGTGAAATACAACAGGCTGTGAAGTCATTTATCTGTTACTGCAGTCAGCTTCATACTTAGCTAGTAACAGTGAACATCAGCCCAAGGAATACAGCTCACCAGAAAGACACATAAAATCAAACAAACATTCAGGAAAGAGGGGAAAATAAAAACTGGAGGACACACCTGCCCCAACACTTGCACAAGACTCAACAAAGCTCACAACTCTTCAGTTCTGAAAACAAAAGATAGTTACCTGAAATGCTAGAAATATCTGTAAACTGCTTTAAGAATGATCACAGGCCTTAAGAGTACTGAAATAAGAGGAAGAAGAAAGGAAAGCAATTCAGGATCCAGATAAGGAAGCTACTGAACTAAATGGAATGATTAGCAATTTTCAGAAGAAATTAAAAAACGTGAAGGAGACATTGGGCAAGGAAATGAAGGATCTGCAAAAGAGACAGGCAGAAATGCTGGAAATGAGAGAGGCAGCAGCTGGACACAATGGAAAGCATCCTCAAGAGACACAACCAAGCAGAGGGGACAGTATCGGGTAGAGGATGAGGTGGACGTCTTGAGATCAAATGAAGAAAAAAACATAGCATGACCACAGTTTCCAAGAACTTTACGATACATTTAAAAGATCAAACCTAAGAATCCATAGTATAGAAGATGAAGCTGAGGTAGATCTGAAGGCATAGACAGCTTATTGGATGCTCAAAACTAAAGAAAGAAATAGGGCTGGTGAGATGACTCATTGGTTAAAAGTGCTTGCCGTACAAGCTGGATGGCATGAGCTCAATCACCAGAAGGCACATAAGAAAGTGGTGGTGTCCATTTGTAATCCCAGCATTTCCATGGTGAGATGGGAGGTGGAAACAGGAGAATCACTTGGAAGCTTGTAGGCTAGCTAGCCTGGAATACTTAGCATAGTAGAAACAGCAAGGAGATCCTGCCTAAACAAGGTAGAAGGCAAGAACCAGCTCCCTAGAGTCACCCTCTGACCCCACATATGCACCGTGGCACCCTCACACCACCCACATGAAACAATAAAAAAGAAATAGAACTCTAAACACAAAAGGCATTTAGAACTTCAAGTAGATGTGGCCAGAGAAGTACCTCTGTATGACATGTCATAGTCAACATATCAAAATGTCATAATAAAACCCATTATGTATAATTAATAGATGCTGTCCTAGTTTGTTTCTTCATTGCTGTGACAAAACACTCTGACCACTACCAACTTGGGGAGGAAAGGGTTTATTTATCTTACATCTCCTGAGTCACAGTTCATCAGAGAGCCCAAGGTAGGAACTCAGGGCAGGAACCTGGAGGCAGGAGCTGGTGCACAAGCCATGGAGGAACACTACTTACTGGCTTGCTCCCCTGGCCCCTGCTCAGCCTGCTTTCTTATGCAGCACAGGCCCACCTGCCCAAGGATGGTACTACCCACAGTGGTCTGGGCCCTCCCACATCGCTCAACAATCAAGAAGGTGCCCCACGGACATCGCCACAGGCCAGTCCAATGAAGGAAATTCCCCAATTGAGGCTCCCTTAACCCAGATGTATCAAGTTGACACTAAAGCTATCCAGCACCGATGCTAATAAAAATTGTTAGAAATACAGAGCAGAGAAGCAATATTAAAAAGTGTAAGGAAGGGGCTGGCAAGATGGCTCAACTGACAAACGTTCCTGCCACCATACCGGATGACCTTAGTTTGAGACCCATGTGGTGCAAGAAGAGAATGAACTCCCACTAGCTATCCCAAGACCTCCACATTTGTACCATGGTCTCTTTCCCTCTCCTCCCCCTGTTTTTTTCAAAACTATGAAGGAAAAACACCAATACCCTCAAAGACAGGCATATGAGAGTAACGTCAGCTCTTTCAATGTCATCAGCAACCCTCAAAGCCTGGAAAGCATAAAATGATATATTTTCAGGCCTGAAAGTAAATATCTGCCAAGCAAGATTACTATATACAACAAAGTATTTTTTAAAACTGATGGAGAAATGAGGACATTTCAAGATAGGCACAAACTCAGGCAATTCATGACAATTAAGCTAGCAGTGTAGAAAATACTTAGAGAAGAACATCTCAGTCATGAGAACACATGAAAATATATTTCATGAGAGAAACATGTGAATGAGAGAGAGCTAGGAAAGAACCCAGCATGTTCATCACAGTCAACTAGCAAATCCCTAATATTAATAGGGGAGGAAGAAGAGGACTAACAGTAATCAAACCAAGCAGAACCAGTTAACAAAATCAGTAGAAGTTGCACGTTTCTCTCAATAATAATTTTTAAAAATATTTATTATTTTATGTATGTGAGTGTATTGCCTGCATGTATGTATGTGAGTGCGTGCACCCGTGCTGTGCAATGCCGCGGAGGTCAGAAGAGGGCTTTGGATTCCCCTGGAACTGGAGTTAAGGATGGTTCATAGGTGCCATGTGGGTGCTGGGAATTGAACCCGGATCCTCTGCAAGAGCAGTCAGTGAAGCACGGTTCAGAGCCGCCATGTGGGTGCTGGGAATCGAACCTGGGTCTTCTGTAAGAGCAGTCAGTGCTCTTAACCTCTGAGCCATTTCTCCAGCCCTTCTCTCAATAATAATTTTAAAAACAAATGGCCTCAACACCATTTAAAAGATTCAGACCAGAGTGGACATGGTGGCATACATACACTTTAATCTCAGAATTTGGGAGGCAGAGGCAGGCGAATCTCTGTAAGTTCAATGCCAGCATGGTCTACATAGTAAGTTCCTGATCAGCCAGGGCTAAATAGTAAGACCTTGTCTCAAAAAAATTAAGAAAAAAGAATAAAAGACAGAGACCAGTTGACTGGATTAAAGAGCAAAATCTGTCTTTTTACAGGAAGCATACCCGCTGGGAAAGATACAAATTAGGAGTCAAATGCACATCAACCTATTGAGCAAATGGAAATCAGAAGTAAGCTAGTATTAGCTATTCTGATAATTGACAGAGTTCCAGTCAGAAGTAGTCAGAAGAGTTCATGAAGATCAGTACATATTCTTAAATGGAACAATTGATCAAGAAGCTATAATAATTATAAATGTGCTTCATACTCCCAATTTCATAAAACAAATACTGAAAAAGAATGAAAGGCCAGATAGGTCCTGATATATTACAAGTAGGTGACTTCATTACCCGACTCAAGTATTTTATTTTTTTGGTCTTTTTGAGGCAGGGTCTCCCTGTAGCTGCAGCTGGCCTGGATTCTCTATGGAGACCAGGCTGGCCTCAAACTCACAGAGATCTGCCTACCTCTGCCTCCTGAGTACTGGGATTAATGGCATGCACCACCATGCCCGGCTTCCCCACTCAAGTCTTAAGATAGGCCATCCAAACTAAAAATGAACAATGAAACTTCAGAGCTAAACTTCAGCACACAAGATGACTCAGTGAGTAAAGGTACCTTGCCACCAAGCCTGACAACCTGAGTTATATGCCTGTGTCCCATGGTGGAAGGAGAGAGCTGACTCCTGAAAGCTGTCCTCTGATTTACAGAAATAGCTCCTCCACACATATACACATACACACACATGAGCACACACACTAATAATAAGTTGATGATGATGATGATGGTGATGATGATAATGATGGTGATGATGATAAACCTTAGCACAGACCAGTTGGATTAACAGCTACTTAAATAATGCTCCAATCAATAGGTAGGGAATACACATTCTGTGCAGCACTATACAGAATCTTCTCTAAATTTGATCACAACATAGTCCACAAAGCAAGTTCTAACAAATACAAAAGAACTGAAAGAATTTCTTGTGTCTTAACTTCTTGCAAAGTGATAGCTAATGAGAACCATTTGTCATTTTATCCTCAAGCTGTTGAAATCATTTAACTTTAAGACCATTGGAAAATTGTTGATGCATCACCTTAGTTTTGTTTGGTTGTGTTTCTTTGTAGCCATTTGCATATTGCAGTAAGAAGATGTACAGCCCAGCACTTAGCAGATGCAGTAGAATTTATGGAACCAGATCGTATTTTGTCTGGAACAAAAGATATGACTGAACGTTTATTGCCTGCTGCTGCTAAGTTTGCTCAAGACAGCTCACAAGAAACCAGGTGAATAATTGGTACTATTTTATTTATTATATATTATATATATTCATTATTATTTATTTATTTGCTAAGGTTTTTGTTTCGTTTTGTTTGGGGTTTATTTTTTTTTTCTTGTTTTGACAGGGTCTCCTTAGTCCCATCCCTCCTGGAGCTCACTGTGTAGACCAGGCTGTCCTTGATCTCCTTGATCTTACAGAGATCCATCAGCCTCTGTCTCCCTAGGGCTGGCATTAAAGGTGTGTGCCACCGTGCCCCAATGTAAGTTTTTCTTTTTTTAGTTAAAAAATATTTTACATTTATTTCTTTTGTGTGTGTAAATAATTCTGGGTGGTGAGAAATTAAGTCACAAAGCTGAACTTCATAGAAGTGACACAAAACCGTGATGAGCAGAAAAGTGGCAGAAGAACTTCATAGTGGGCAGAAGTCAGGTAATTTAGAGGAAAACAGTACATCTTAAAGCCAGCTAGATAAAAGGCAAGGAAATAGGTACACATGAAAAATGCAGGAATAACACATAACAGTTTTATTATCTCTTGAAAATGTATTTATGCTTAGAAAATCCCATGAATTTCTGGTGATCATTACAAATTTATGAAGATTAATAACAATCAGCAAAAGATGGCAAGATTGTTAATACATAAATAGCAGATTACCTACAGTGGTACAGAAAGTTTGGATTTAGTCAGGAGCTTAGGTTAAATTCCTAGTCTACATCACTATTTGTTTTTCAACAAGTTATTTAAACCTTACTAGTTTCTTTGTAAAATTAGGAAGGCTGCACTGCTGGGCGTGGTGGTGCACACCTTTAATCCCAAACTTGGGAGGTACAGGCAGGTGACTCTCTGTGAGTTGGAGGCCAGCCTAGTCTACATAGTGAGTTTCAGACCAGCTGGAGCTCAGGGAGACTCTGTATCAAAAAAACCAAAAACAACAAAAAAAGGAAGGTTATACATGTTAACCAACAGAGTCTGGACAAAATCTAAAATTTTCTGGCAATAGTATGAAAGATAATTTAAAAAGTGGAGAGAGGATCCAGAGTTCACAAAGGTTAAAGAAAATATCAATTCAATTTTTTAAAACATTTTAAGACAAAGATATCTATTACTCAGGCAATAAACCAAAAGCTAATACAGAGAATAAGTAGATTTTCTATTGCTTTGTAAGAAATTACCATAACTGTAGCATCTTAGGGTTAGTAGTTAGCTCAGAGTTCTTTACTTCAGAAGTCTAGCATGAGCCAACTTGGTTCCCTGCTCAGGATCCCACGTGGCCAAAATCAAGGTGATGAGAGAGAACTGGGCTGTTTTCTAGAGGTACTATTGAAGAATTTACTTCCAAACTAAATCAGTTTCTCCAAATTCAGTTTCATGAGATTGTGGACTAAGTGTCCCATTCCCCTAGTCCCATGCAGGGTCGTGGGTGGAAGGGCTCTTCCTCACTCCTTCAGACCACTTCCATTTTTTCCCATGCTACCCTCCACTTCAAGTTGGCAGAATTAGGTTGAATTACCCTCCTGTATAGAATTTATCTGACTTCCTGTTCTGTAAGTAGGCACAGAAAGCTTCTTTTTAAGAACATTTGATTAGATTAGGCCTATCCAGAAATGATACCTCATATTCACAAATTTCAGGGATTCAGGTAAGACATTTTTGAGGAACCATTTTAAGAAGTTCTGCATGCACCGTTAATGTTCAGAAATGTTCAGGAGAGCCAGAGTGGTGCATACCTGTATCCCAGGACTCAGAAAACTGAATCAGGCAGGAGGATCTCATGGTCAGCCTGGACTACTTAGCAAGATCCTGGCTCAAAAAAGCAAAACAAAGCACAATTCAAGAAGGTTAAATCATAGGCTAGTGGGGAAAAGAATTCTTAATGATTGTTAGTTGTGCATGTTTACTCTTTACTAACTCCACCCTTTTTTAATTTTTTATATTTTCTTTCTGTGTGGGAGTTAAACTTAACCAGAGTCTCATACATGCTGATATGAAAGTACTGTGCCAAGAATTATTTACCCAGCCTACACTAAGCCTTTCTTCTCATTCATCTTGTCATTATTTACAATTTTGAGATTACAATATGGGTACAGTTAATTTCTGGGTTTCACTATTGCTCACAGTTTATGGCTCTGCTATTTGTTTACTAGTTTGTTTCCTTTCCCATATTTCTAGGCCTTGTGGCAAACCTATACTCTTTAATATTCTAAGCTCAAAAGTAGAATTATCCTTGAATTTATAACCTGTCAGGGTATTCTTATCTGAATAGTCATAGATCTGTTCTGTTCTTGGGAAAGTTCAATTAACCCCAGCAAAACCATGTTCTCTGGACACATCCTCTTGTTTTCTTAGCAACTTCAATTTGCTACTCCACCCAAAAAGATAATGAATGAATGTGGATGTGCTTGAGAATTAACATATCAAAGCACCAAAAAAAATGACAGTGCACCTATCTCCATTGCACTCTGAAGATTGAGAAGGATGATTGACCTTGAATGAATGAGTTGTTCTATAACTAGGGATGAAAACACCAGATGGTCTGTTAAGATTAGTGTGGAGGCAAGCTTGTACTTCCTTAATTGAAGTTGGAAAAACCATTTTGAATAAACTTATGGGTGGGGATGGACTCTGGGACACAGTTTCAGAGACAGAGTTCCAGTATGAAAGTTCCAGCAGCACAGCTCCAGGAGAGAGACACAGTTCCAGGAGTGATATCTTGGGCCCACTCTTAAAAACTAAATTTAAGAGTCAGGCTTTTGTTTGGGTAATTATATTGGTGTAGAAATACTGCATCATACTATATAAGATAACCTCTGTCCTAAAGTATTTCCAATATACATTCTATGACATGCCTATTTTCTGTATTAGAAAGATGCTTTGGCTTCAGGTTTTATCCTAAAAGGATTTTTTTTTTTAAGTAAAAATTTTTATGTGTGTGAGTGTTACATGTTGTACAGTGCCTGTGGAGGACAGAAGGCAGCATTGGATTCCCTGGAACTGGAGTTACAGATGGTTGTTAGCTGCCATGTGGGTGCTGGGATTCAAACCCATGTATTTTGCAAGAACAGCCACTGCTCTTAACTGTTGAGCTATCTCTCCAGCCCCCAAATTTATTTTTATGTGTCTGAGTATTTTGCTTGCAGGTATGTAATTGCATCACATGCATGCAATGCCTGCAGAGACCAGAGAGGGCATTTGTTCCTTGGAACTGGAGTTACAGTTGTTAGCAGCTATGTGGGTGCTGGGAACTGAACCCGGGTCCTCTGGAATAACAGACTAGCCATTGAACCATCTTTCCAACCCCATTAAAGGATTACTTTTAGTTTTATCTAACATTATTCCATCATTTAACAGCATGTCAACACTAATTTTTCATCCAACATTGTTTGAAGTTTATATTTTAAATAACAGGATAGAATTTTGAAGAATGGAACCAAGGTAAGTTTGAACTAGGAAATGAGATAATGAGTTAGAGATACAGTATATAAAGATTAACTTGGACTAGATAGAATGGCAGGTGGGCAGCAAAAGGTCAGTAAGGAGGCCAAGACAAAGGTCAGCTTTTCCTGGGTCATAGTTCTGCCAAATGCAGGCTTAAATAATATGGACCCTGGCTGTATTTAAAATTTTTTTAAAATGTGCAT